AATTATGCTGATGTTATATCCCAAAAAATGAAAAAGTAGGGTAAAAAGAAGCAAAGGAAACCTCTATTTGGAAAAGCACAATAGAACGAGTGCAAGAAATTATTATTTACTATATTTTTTTAGATGTTTATATCAGAGCTTGGGCAGACTGATTGGCTGGATTACCCTTAATTGGGCAACCAGCAGTTTCAAGTAAGTTGATCCTAGACAAATGATGGGTTATTAGGAGTACATTTTTAGTAGTCGTGCATTCTCAGTTTTAAATGGGCTTTGTGACCCGAAAAGCTTTGAAATTAAAGCCTACGGCTGACATGTGTCGAATATGATCCTTGAATATCTGGTAATGTTTGTACTTTGTCTTTAGTACTTTAATAGATTAATGGAACAGGTGTATATCCTCTGGCAAGGATTGCAGCTATCTATTTACTGTCTTGGGAACCTAATTACTGGTTCTGTGAATTTTCAAAATGTATACCATCTCCCGAAGGCATCAAACACTTCCTGCTTTTCTATTATTGTTTTCTCATATCCTTGTGTAAAATTTTTTTTAATAACCTCCTTGGGATATGGCCTAGTAATTTATTTTCTTCAACATCTCTCAAGTGTAAAATCTTTTTGCATTTTTTTCTTTTTTCTTTGTCTCGTATTCTCTCTGAGTGGTTTTCACCTCATCAGTTTTTTTTTTCCAATAGTTATTCCCTTTTTTTTCTTGTATACCTTGTGGGATGTCATAATTTGTTGATTTGATGCAGTGAGTTCGAGGAATTGGAAGCTGTCCCAACTATGGCTGTTATGGATGGTCCACTGGAGCCGCCATCGTCAACTTCCTCAAATGTTGCAGATGTTCCTGATGATCCTTCCTTTGTAAATTTTTTTAGTGTATGCATATAGCTTTCAACTGCTGTAATTTTGAATTGCCTTTGATTTAAAATCCTCCTTGGCCCATCATTTGGCACAATCTAACAGAAACATTTCCCTTTTTCAACCCTAAAATGTTTCAATATTCCAATATTATTGCTTTTTGATACCATACTCTGGTAGTGATTTCTCTTGATTTTTAATAATATGCTGCAGTTAGAGTGCCTTCTTTGCTTGCTATTGCAGTTAATCAATAGCCTTTTTTGTCTCTTTGTAAATCTCTTTCTCCTCTCTGCTTTTAGTTTTCATTCTTGAACTTCTTTAAATACACCTATTGTTTTCGTTTTCTTTCACCTTGGAATATTCATTTTGAAGTTTTCTTAATTTGATAATTTGTGCATTCTGTCATTGATTTCGACCCTACCCTCCCACCCCTGGAAAAGATAGTTTATTTAAAAAAGGAAAGGAGTTAAACCAATAATATTACAATGGGATATAATAAAATGCTTGATTCTTGTTCGTATGCTTACACTCAATATCTACCAATGCGTTTATATATCTTTAATTTTTGTTGGATTCTTTTCTATTTGTTTGTGTCTTACTTCTGGTGTGATTTTTCTGTGATTTTCCTTTTCCAAGTTCCATTTTATTATGTTAAAACCATAATGAGTTGAATGTTTCGTAATATGATTCTCAGACTGCTATGACTGTTGGAAGTGCTAATGCAACAGTTGCTGGTCAACCTTACCATCCATCTGCAACAATTCCACCTTCCCGTCCACAAGGTGCTGTTACCCCTCCTACGGGAACAATACGAACACCATCTCCCCCTCTTTCAACAACCAACCCCCTAATGCCTCTCCTTGAAACTCCCGAACACAACAATGATACCAAGCGATCAGCTAATTTAGTGAAGCCATCAACCTTTTTTGGTCCCCCTCCTTCCTCCTCTCCACTTATGGTGCCGCCGGTCTCTTCATCTATGCCAACTGCTCCCCCACTCCATCCTCCTGGGAGCCTCCAGCGCCCATATGGTGCTCCTTTGCTTCAACCATTTCCACCACCGACTCCCCCACCATCTCTTACCCCAACTGCTGCTCCTACACCTAACTATGCACCTGCTATTTCCAGAGACAAAGTTCGTGAGGCGCTTCTGGTACTTGTTCAGGTACGTATGACAACTTACCTGTCTTCTCGTATGTGCTTAGTTTCTTATGACCTGACTCTGATAAGCTAGTAGTAGTTTTAGTGTTTAATCTTTGTGGTTTTTTGGTTACAACTTTTGATAATTGGACATGATACAGTTTGTGTGGTTGGGGGTTCAATGAATGAAGGTTATAAAGGAATGAGAAGATAACAATGTGTCTGTTTCAATATCTATCCATTTCTTAAAATTGCAGATTAATGGAGCTATATGTTCATCAAAAAGCATATCCATCAGTTGAAAATTTTGGTGTGTTTATGCCTTCTCGAAGAGAAAAATTTAGATTAAAACCTGTGGTGGCTACATGGAAAGCATGAATTGTATTAAGCGGTCTTACGCAGTTAATATTAGAAGTATTTAGTGGATCCGTAGAGTGATTTTATGACAAAGAATAATGGATTTGGAGCAGCTGTTAGTCTGGGAGTTTGGTCAAGTTTGATTAAGGGAATGTTTTTCTCGTTTCTGTTGGTTCTCTTGAATCTTTCTTTAAGAACCTGATAAAAGAGAGTGAAGAAAGACAAAAGATCGGGTGGATAGATAGATAGATAGATAGATGATCCCTCATCCCAGAAAAACAAAAATGAAATGAAAACAAAATGTGCAGGCATATAACTGACAGCTGACAAGAGGACCTACCAATATAATGGTGTAGAAAAAACCTGATTCCTGTATGCTATAAAGTTGTTTTAACCTGTATCATTAAATTAGACTCGAAGTACTAATTTCTGAAAGAGGCCAACTCATGTCATAAGAAAGATATCAAACATCACAAAGAATTCTGCATGTCCTCAATTCACTTTATAGACCATGAACTACTAAATACTTGATAATGTTGTATCCTATTGCCATGGTGGTGGTCTGAAGCCCATAAATTTTACTATCCTAATTCCCAGGCTAAAGATTTTGGTTGATTTTGTTTTGAGATTGAGCAACCTGTGCTTTGAACTTTGACTGATGAGCAGATGTAGATTATGCCATCCAATGGTGACAGTTGTCCCATCTAGCGCTGCTTCATTTAGAATTAGCTTCCATTTCTCATGGTGACATGATGACCTTGTGATAATTTATGCTTCCTTTTACTGTAATGCTGAGATTCATGCTCATAGTTAACATATCTTCTCAATGTATCTGATTAGCTCCTCTTTTGATGGTAGGATAATCAATTCATCGACATGGTTTACCGGGCGGTGCTGAATGCTCATTCATCATGACCAATCAATTGCTGCTATATACTTGGTGAAGTCATTGCTTACTGTGCATTTTTTAGGTTTTTATGAATATACTTTGGTTTAAGACATCTTCTGTATAGGATTTACTTTATTTATGCTCAGATCTCAAAACATTGTTACTGTATTATTTCGTCTGGCTTTGATAGTTTATTTGCTGCAGAGACTAGTTTATTTCTTGATCCTTTGTGCTTTTTATGGTTTTGTGCGCATTCTACTTGGCTGTATTGTGCCTGAACCTTAGTGAGGTAGCCTTTTGAGATCAGTTTTAAATGCATCCTGCCAAGACGAAGTTTTCATGCATGGTGTTGACTGAGGTATTGGGAAAGGACAATATTGATAATGCTGGAAAAAGATGGCTTCATTCTTCTGCATGATCGGTGTGAAATCTTTTCACAAGCCTGGCTATTCTATGAACAGCTAATGTTGGAAAACTATACCGACCTCTGTAGAAAGACATTAAATTTGCCAGATTTGAAGTGTAGAACTATTGGCCATTTTAAGTTGGAGGTATTGCCAGAAAGAGGAACTAGTTGTGGTGAAGTATTATGTGGTTATAGGTTTGGCAATTTTTTCCCCTCCTTCCTTGGTGGGTTCTAACTTTTGGGCTATCTGATATAAAATGAGCTAGAAGGTGCAGTGGATTCTTTTTGAGTTTCGGCATGGGAAGATGAAACGGTTTAAAGCTTGAGGAACCATTAATGTGTCGGAAGAGAAGTTCTTTTGAGACTCTTTAAGATATTGAACAACTTATCTCTACTGCTTTGTAATTGGTTGTTTAGGTCATGATATTAAGCTAGTTAATAATTAAAATGGAAAACTAGGGTTTGCTGCAAATATGCTCTGAGGGTTGTAGCTGTCACTAATTTTTATTTTAGGGGATTTTATGACGTGGAACGTGGTATCTTTTCCAGTAGGGTTCCATAGTATGATCCTGTTGATTTAGACAGAAGCATTAAGATGGATAAGGTTTTTCTAAGTTTCATACTCGAAGGTTTCTCTCACAAATATAAGCTTCTTGTTGTGGCTGGTTTTGATCGTAAGATTTTAAAATTTCTTACAATCAAAATTGGACATTGTTAAACTTGTACCATATATTTCTGCCCTTTCCTTTTGCATTTTTTTGGGTCAATCATTGGTAACCTTAGAAGAAAAGGAGGGGAGGGAAGGGTTAGATGGTATTGGAGAGGAAGTATAAGTGAGAGATCTTGGATTCGAGATCTTTCACTTGCACTTAGAAAAAAACATTGAAAGAAAATATTTTCATTGTCTAACTATTTTCCGCATCGATCAATACGTTGCCACCAAGAGTGCTGGTTTCAAATAACCGTCTCTTCGGTAAGCAATTGATGTTTGAAGGTCTCATGGTAAGTGTAACATTGGATGGTTAGTGATTAATGTCTTCAGATGCGAAGGTATCATAAAAGTTTTTTTTGCTGTTCGAGAGCTCAAAATTCTGGACGCTTTTGCCTTTACTCCTCGCTCCGTGGGAGAACAAGAGAACCCAAAGGCGGCGTCATGTCAAGATTATCAGATACAAACATTTTCAATCTGAAGAGAATAATAAAATTGAAAAAACATAAAGAGGTTTTAACTTCTGAAATTTATGCCCTAAAAACACGCACCAACACAAATATTATGTTTAAGAGTTTAATTCAAAAAAAAAAAAAAATCCCCACATGAGTTTAATTCAACCCATATTTTGTCCGAGGTCGGTCAAACCAGCAAGTCGCCCAAATCATCTCTCTATTATTGAAGCAGTGCTCTTGTTTCCTTCGGAGAAATCAAGTTCATCATGCTTGAGAATACATGCACTAGAGTCTTCATTTAATGAAAGGAAAGATTTAATTTAAACGTCAAAGATTGGCCTTCATATCTATAGTCAGACTGGCAGCTTGGTCCTGTAGCGCTAAAACATGAAAGCCGCAGCCTTTCTTGTGTAAGTCTACAAGATTACACCTATTAAACAAAATTTTCTGGAGATGCATGATTCCCTCGTTAAACATCAGTGCTAGATTGCAAAAATTCTACTTCGAGATGGCTGCCTGATCTACATACTAGTAGAGGTCACGAAGTACTCATCCAATGCAGGTTCCAGTTCAGGCTAAAAATGCCAACCCCCAAGGGTGCAATGATCCATTGCTAAACATCCTGTTTCTTGTTTCAAGCTGTTTTTACTTTTCGCGAGGGGGGGCGACGAAATATGCTGATGAGATCATCAAGACCCTGCAGATACCATGCACGAGCTTACATGTCATTCTCTCTTATTTGCTATTTGTATTCATATTGCTTAACTAGGATTAAGGTAAGAACACCAAAGGCTTCAATTCAAACTGAATTAATGACCAGAGGGAGACATAAAATAATAAATAAATGAATTCCAAGTAGACTGAATAAAAATAAAAATAAATTTCAATTCGAAAGACATACCCTGGTTGTGATAACAAGGAAACTGAAAAGAATAATCAAGTAAGATCCTAGTACGAGTAGCAAAAGCAAGTCAAATGTCACACTGGCCACCTGCAATGACATCAGTTAATCAATAGTCATTTCAATAGCCACCTGAAAACAACTTATCAAGCGAAAGTAGCTTCATTAATTGCCAGATCTTCAACACCAACGACAATGGCACACACAGTGGGAAAGGCATAGTGTTTGAGGAAGGACAAGAAACGAGGCTTTTATTCACAAGTTGCACTGTAAACCTGAGATACTATTTTTCAGACGTAATGAGCACCCCCACGAGTCATGGCTAACAGAACTAAGTATGAATCCAGACTCAAATTCCAAGCCAACAGTTTGCTGTCAAAGAAACCTACTCATTGATTCATTATATCCTCCTCCATATGCTTCTTCTTTGACAAATACAAGATTCTATCAGGCAGAGCAATTAACTTCTTGTCCTGTCTAGTCTTCAACTTTCTTTCCCAAGATTCTTTTCTTCAAGTATTTAATTTGTTCTGAATCTACACGTGCAATAGTGTGAATGTGTATACGCATCGCAAAAAAGGTGAAACAAGTTATCCAGTCACCTGGTATATATGTAATTGACTACTTGTTGAATCGTAGAAAGTGAACAACCCATCGAGCACCTCATGTTGTACATTCACCTCAACAGTATGCTCTGTCAATTCCTGCCAACATGCAGAAGCACAGATTTGATAAATGCAAAACATACTGGCTAAAAGACGTACATGAAACTTTAAACAATGATAAAGAAACAAAAAACAGATGCAAAAGCAACGAAGATGCTAAGTAGAAAGGGAAGCAACTGAATTTAGCCTATCAATTGAAAGCTATCAAACTGTTTGTAGAGCATTAGCTGTCATAAGCTCATACGGGAAAAACATTACAAGCAACAAAACTAGTCCAGGCCAAGGAATAGCTTTTGGTTGTCTTGTCCATAAAGTATAAGCCACCAAAGCCAATATTAGCAACAAACTAAAATTCACAAATAAAACAACATACTCAAGTTCGTTGTTACGAACCTTTTTAAGTGCCATGATGAGTGGGTCATTTTTTGTAAGAAATGGTGCCACACGTGGTGTTGTAGATAGAAGGTTCAACCATGAACGTATATAAGAAGGATTGACAGCCAAACTACTATCATCAGCGAAGATATTGATGTTTTTCCCGTCCTGGTTGTATATATGCCTCTGGAAACGAGGGAACCACTTCATTAGAAAACTAAAAAGTTTTGTAACACACACTTGTTTTTCAAATGCATTGTCACAGATCACAAATCAGAAAACTATCAACCTAAATCAGGTCATCATAGAAAAGCTGAGAAATCAGAAGGATTAGTGCCAATAAGTAAGCATTATATGGATGAATGCAGTAATCAATGAATGCAAAACTAACAAGGCTAAGCTGTGATTAACGTAAATATGCAAGTTGTGAAGTTAAAATGCAAATAAAATGAAATTCATATTTGACTAAACATATTTTGTTTCTGATTTTTATTTCAAAACAGACATGGACTTTAAATCCACTTGCACACACCATTGTATTCTTCTAATCAACCTTCAACTGGACAAATTAACCATCAAAATCCTTTGGAACTTTAGAACAAAAGTATCTAAATCATGAACATACCAAATCAGAATTAAATGTCTCTAGGGAACTAAAAAAGGGTAGCATACACCAAATGGACATTAACTTTCAGGTAGAGGGTATCAGATAAAAGAAACTGGTTTCCTAATAGATTTTATTTTCCCATTATCAAGTACAAGAGAATGCAGCATAAAACGGGTTTGTTAATCCTTTGCAACTCTACAGTTAAACACCATCAGCAATATAAAATAGGACTTTCTAGAAGAAGCCGTAGGATAATAGGTTTAAAAGAAATCCAAACATAGTTCATCACATACACACTCTTTGGTCATAGTTCCTGCCATCACTTTGGTAGGGGATAAGCAGGTTGGCTAATAATTCAGTTTCATCAATTGGCATGTCACTGATATCAACTGAGAAAACAGCATGCGCTCATCAACTAGCAACTGTTACAAGCCCCAAGTCTTTCCACCAGTAAGACTTACCTTTTTGGCAAACTAATTGTCAAAATATTAGAGGAAAAAATTTTACTTTGACTCCAAGCTTGAAAGCAAAAGCAAAAGCTCAAGTTAAATACCAACTGAAGTCTCAACCAACCTAAGGTCACAAACTGAGCGTACAAAAATTCCTGCAGTGCAAGAAGCATTACTAACTACCCTATCAGAGATCACAATTTGACTGCTTTCAAAGTGATTCATTTAGTTTGCACTCATCCAAGCAAAGGCAATCTGATATATATGGCATGAACTTCAAGGACAGCCTACATTTTCGGGCTAGACAAGTGACTTGTATTACAGGACACTCATTAGAAAATGTCACGCTTCTATAATCAGTAAAGAGTGTTGAGGGTCCACATGATGGTGTTAATGTCTGACAGACCAATAAAAATTATGTTCACCCAATATGCAATCTATTAGATGGAACAACAATTCCTAGTAGAGGATAAAACCAATGTTGATGCCTTACCGCTAGGCTTTCCGCAACTAACTTGACACTTCGAACTACTGAAGCCTCATTCACAAAGTGTCTGCAGAATAAGCCAGTTACTTTATCAAATGCCTAACTCAAACAGAACAAGAGTTCCCATGGAAAAACAAATATAAGAAGGCTCAAGTTCCAATACCTGTTATCAGACAGACCACCAGTGCTTTCTAGCAACTCAGGGGCAACAGAGAGTTCTGAGAGTGTAGCTGCTGTAACCCGAATCCTTGAAAATTGTTCATGCTCCCAGGCTACCTACAGCGTTTTAAATGCATTAGTGTAGAATCAAAACACTAGAAAATCCCATGCACAAAAATTGCTCAATTTTGTACCATCTCTAAAAGGCACAAGTACCTAATGAGTTGCAGGGGGGAAAAAAAAGAAGTCCGCTGAATTTGAAAATGCACATATGAGTTACAGTTTAACAGGCAGCACAATCTCTACCTCAACATTTCTTGGCCATCACCATACAAGCTACAGCCAGATATTCATTTTCTATTACCACTAAGCAAGTATGGATATATGCTCAATATGAATGCCACCAGCATATCCTTGAAGTAACTGAAACTTTTCTAGAATTCTATACATTCATTAGAAGGATCTGTCATCTTCCAATGATGTATTATTCATAATCTTCATTAATTAACTTCTTCATTAAGATAGATATTCATCCCATAGTATAACATTCCTTTGTAGAAAGACAAGCATAAAGCTGTCCAACTGACAGGCAGTAACTCACTTCAACTCATCGTCTCCAATGAATGATATGGATCAACAGGCAAAAAAGTCAAAGAAAGACATAGCTTTAACAAGCAAAAGACAAAAGTATATTTTACTATCATAATTTACAACTTATCCACAGCCTCATTCTAGTGACATGGTTCCAGACGAGCGGTAGAAACAGGACTAGAAAGTTCTTTAAGCATAACAAACTGCATAAAGCATAGGAACCTAAAAAGAGTTTTAAAAGGACAGGGAATGGTCCCCATGATGAATTGTAGGCTACAGGCACATATATTCTCTGGAAAGTGTACCTAAACTGTAAGCTCCACCTATATAGACATCAATCCCAAAAGCAGAACAAGACATGTTCACAATTAATTTAATCATCTAATCAAACAATAGCTGACCTACGTTTTTTATTTCACATATGTACTAGCAATGCCATCCTATGCCTTGTTCTGATATAATCAATTGAATTAACTTACTCGAGGATTAGAGATGTTTATCTTCTTGTGCTTAAGACCCACTTCTAGCCCCAATTCTTCAGCAACACTAGAAATACCCTGCAAAACACCTCCCGTCAAACCAGAAGTACCACTGCAAGATGCTAGAACTCAATATTACTGATCTCCATAGATATACTTTTTTTTGAGTGGAGGAATGGAGAGCACCTCAAAGATTTGCTTTATGTATGCGTTTTCTGGAGGTTTTGACACATGAACCCACAACTTGTCGCCTGATGAGCCAATACTATTCAAGCAAATAGCATAATCAATGCTCTCACGTAGACGTTGATCAAAGCTGCGAAGCCGCTGGAGAACAACAATTCAAAATCAAACATTGACATAAATTATTGAAAAGATATGCAGAGAACAAATTACCTTATAAGTTCCATTGTAGTTATAGGGCCCACCAGACGTCAGGCCAAACAGTAAATTGTATCTACCTCTTGTCCTGGGGTTGGAATATAAAATGGAAAACAACCTAGCAATCTCGAGAAGAGCCACAACACCACTTCCATTACTATCACTTCCCATAGACAGTGCCTGTTTGTGACAGTAAAAATTTCAATAAGATGTAATTATAAAAAACCTGAAGATCTATATCAAACATATGAAAGCATTTTACAGGTGCAGCCCCAAACGTGTCGTATGATGCCACTATGGCAATAGTAGGAAGTTGATTTGAATCAGCATCAGCTTTCAGTCCTGGCAACCATCCCTGTAATCCGAAAAATATCAAGTGCTTAAGTTATCTTCAAAAGATCAAGAGCAGTATCCATATATAACAAGTGACTTATACCAGAGATATAGCTAGAACCATCTAATAATTAATGAAGACATGATTATATTGATGCAGGTTGTGTAAAAAATTCATTACAAAAAAATACTATGCAGTAAACTCAATCCTATAGTGTTCAAGCTCAAAACTTTAACGTCCCAAACTAAAAGAAAGCATTCAATCAAGTGACATCAAAATAATTGTTAGCAGAAGCTCATAGGCAAACAAAGTTCCACTGCCGGACAAGAAATCCTACATCATAAATATAGTCCCAGACGGTCACCAAACAGTTTGCTCTGAGATTAGAACAAAATAAGAATAAATAAATCAGCTCAAAAATAAAAATACAAGAGCATAGATCAACTCCAAGCAAGCTTAGAGACATGACAATCAAAGCACACAGGCAAGGTGGACTTATATTAACTGCACATATAAAAGATATATAATTTGAGATGATTGACTATTGTAATTAAATGCATCCCCACCTAACTCAAGCAGTTCGTGATAACTGTACACTTGGAAGATAAAAGGCAAAAGTGACATATACCTGAATGTTTGTGATGGCAGGAGATCCTATTTTCCTTGGTTCTGGAGCAGCAACAACGAGCTTGTACCTGAAATAATTAAGATGTCAAAAAAGGATTAATTCAGATAATAAAACTCAAGGCACCAGGTGCACAATATCCCAAGCCAGTATAATATTCCGAAATAGAGAATCTTGTCTATCATGGAAGAGATTTAATGTACTCAAACAATATGCCAATATGCCAACCATCATCCAAATGCAAAATTTCAACAAAGACCTATCTGATAATAATGGTTACATCCAAAAGAAAACCAGCGAATCACACATGATAAACATCTCGCATAGACATAAAACAATAGCAATTTGAAGTGCTTCCACACATATATAAATGAAAAACAGAAATAGACATTTTTTCTGTCTAATCTTGGTATTTCCCCAAATTAAAATGCTCCAGCATTTAGCAGATAAAAAATTTAGAAACATGGGCTACAAGTTTATCAACTAACCCGCCTGTGGTCGCGGTTGCAGGCTGACCAGTAACATCATTCCTCTTGACATCCACCAGCACAGCATTGATATCGTCATGCTCAAAAGAAAAATAAACAGGATACTGCAAGAGCATAACACATAATTAAAGACCACCACTTATGTTAGTAAGACACAAACATTAAGCTTTGACTCAACAAAAGAAGATTAAGAGATCATCATTGGGATTAGCAGAATACCAATTTTCAGGCATTTCCAAAAAAAAGCAAGCTGTAATTCAAGTAAGGGAAGTGGCCGTGGCACACAAAAATCACTTGAAATTCCAACTTAAATCTCCAGTTCTTCCCACTTTGGCGAGGTGGAAGGCTTTTCTTTTCTATTAGATTGTTTTTTATCCACCACCTTAAGCAGATAGATAAAGACCAAAGTATGATTAACCCAAAAGCAGGTGAGAAGCACAAAAGAGATACTACGATCGATGTTCTCATATATTCACTGCCCATACCAAACATAGCGGACTTCTATGCTGTGGTCTATCAATCAAAACAAAACAAGAACCAAAATTTAGTTTTTGACTCTTTGTAGATATCATGCCAGAGAACGCCAAACCTTGGACAGCAAAATTGTGATGTCACACCAATGTCCAAAAGGGCATCCACTTCCAAAGATAGAAGAAACAATTCAAACAAAACGAAATTAAAAAGGCAACACAAAAAGCATGAAAACCATGATAAAAGACAAGTGGCCAGGTTCAAGAATCAATAAAAAAAAAAAAGCAACAGCAAGTCAGTACCAAAATTTAGAAAACTGTAAATCATTTGATCCACTCACAGGAATGTTGGCATGTATTAGCAACTGCTCAAGTTCAACTAAGATGTCCCTTGAAACATCTTCTGCAGGAGTATGATCAGCTTCACCCGTATATGTAGAATGATCAGCTTCACCCATATTGTCTACATTCTCAGGATTAAATATAGAAGGAAGTAAAAGAAGTAAACCACCCAAGATCTTTCTTTGTCCAATATATTCTGCATAACAGAGGAACAAACCAAATTTTACATGGATGATAATATTTCCTTTTCTTGTGCTCAAAGAATTAAAATTTTTCTTAAAGATGATACCAAATTAACTACCCAAATTAAAAAAACTTACCAAATAAGAAAACAGAACCTAAATTATAATGCAAGGTTAATCCTTTCATTAGAACCTGTTCTTGTTTCCTTGCAATTTTCTAGAGCTTCTCAAAATGGTAGGCCAAAATGGTAGACCACAATAGTATACTTTTGAAAATTGAAAGGGTAATTCTGCCGTGAATGTTTTGAAAAGAATAGATGTTACCAAATAACATCTCCAGAGGTGCTTCTGAATTAGCTTTTTCCAACCTAAAGTAAGTCCAGAGTATATCCCAAAAGCATACACTAACACGACTTGAAATTTGAAAAGAAACAAGGGGAGAAAAAAAGAATTAGCCTGTTTAAGCATCCAAGAGTATGCCTTTAGTTCACTAAATATGTGTATAGTACATTTTAAGCCCAAAGCGAACCTCTATATTGACCAGCAAGAGATTGTTTAGATATTATATTTAACAAATTCAGACACACGATTGCAAGTATATGCATCTACAAACCTGTTAAATGATATATTATTATATTGAACATCATTATCACTCCATGTGGATTGTCACTCAAACAGCCTATCGTCATCTACATGAAGCTTTCAGATTTTTCCATAACCTCATTGCAAGAATAAGTTTTGAAACTCTATTGATTATCAAATTTGTGATTTCTCATTCAATAGGTTAACTTATTAAAAGTGGCTCAAATGATCTGTTTTTCAATTTAGCTCCGGCATGATGTAAAACTCACGGTGAGTTACGGGATTCTGATTGATGCAGTTTCTTTGTTGATATAACCAATGTAAAATGGATATAACAATAGATACACAATATAAATGCAAAATTCTAGGCATGAATGATCTGAAAAATGAGTACTTTGTAGTAGTTGAGCTTTTTAAATATATTGTCCAATACCAAAGCACAAAATTTTATCAGAAGGCTTCAGTTTGTCCACTCCATCCTAATAAATATAAATATTCTTGTGCGTTCACCTATTTTTACTTCTTTTGACAGAGAAAATACAGGTCCCAAATTTCTCGTTAAGTTAAGCATTCTTCTCACAACTTGGTTTGGATGCTGCAAACGGTCATATCCATGTAGTCACTCTAAAAGAAACTTTGAAGACATAAACATCAAAATTACTTCCATAAATTGCATTGCACCAGGGACCAAACCAGTCCCTTTCTCTCTCTGTTTCATTACATTTGTCCATCTAGTCTGTCGTCTCATCTACCCTAATTAATTCCAATAGTATATCATTATTCCATTCCGTAACTAATTGTCCTAAACCATAAAATGAGGCAACCATTATTGACATCACGATTTTCTAAGGCATCACTTTCGCTCCTTTCTCCAACAATATCCGCACCACTCGAACACGTGTAGGTTTTAAAAATCGTCAGCTAAATTCCAATCAGCATTCCGTATCCTACCTAAGTCTAACTGGCAAAAACAGAAAATATAGCCTTTTCCACCGGTAAAAGCAATTTAACAGAACCGAAATTCCATTAAAAAAAATAAAAATTGAACCTCAAAAAGAACTAACAAGAAACTCAAGAAGAAGCATACCTCGAATGAGAGTGAGGTTCAATTCACGAAGCGGAAGAATCAAAACCGTACGCGAGAGATCAGCTGCGGCAGCTGAATTACCACCACCACTACCACTACCGGCGCCGGAAGAGAAGAGAGAAGAAGCAGCGTGATGATTAAGAGAGGCGAATCGAGATCCAAAAGGAACGCCGGCGAGATCGTACTGAACGAGGCGATAGACGTCGACGACCGTAACGCCGTCGCAGAGGTCAGCACATGCCGCGAGCACAATCAGCACCACCATCGCCATCATCGACGCCGTGTACATTGTCGGCTCCAATACTCCGGCCGACTTTCTCTCACTACTCCCCATGGTTACACGCACAAGTATGAGAAATAGAGAGCGAGATAGAGGTAAGAGTGAAGAGAGCGAGGGCTTTTGTTTGAGGTTTGATCGGGTTGGGACTTGGGAATTAATAATAGAGGATTTAATTTGATTCGGAAAATTAATAAAAAAAAATGGATTGGATAATTTTTAATTTTGTGCAGCTACTAATCATTGGACTATCAATTAAGTAGAAGTTATTAATATGGTAATTATTTGTGTGTTTATTTTGGCAAAGAATTGTATTTTTTTCCTTTTTGTGGTAAAAACCTTTATTCACTATTTTTTTTTTGGAAATTTTAACCCAAATTATTTGTCTTGTGTTTTATGGACCTCTAGGCAAAAGCCGCAAAATATTGAAAGAAAACCTATGCACTTAAAATAATTATTAATTTTTTGATAAGAGTGAAATTAATTCAAAAAAAAAGTATCAAAATACAAGGGAACAATAAATATGAGCGTGTATTAGAAAAATCTTATTTAAAAAATAGCATTTTTTGAATTTCATTATTGAAGATAATAGATAGAGATTTCTTGATTAATTACACATGGACCTTAGATTCAACTAAATTACATTTTGGCCCCTTAAGAGTGGAAAAACAACATCTAAACCTTTTTAAAAAATGTAACTCATTGTATTTTTACAAAAAAAAATTGAAGGAAAGAAAAAAGGATCACATTATAGAAGTAACCTTTCAATGGAATGTCAAGATCATGTAATAATGCTTTAATTCAAATGCAACCTATCAGTGGAATACCATGATCATGTTGAAGAATTTAAATCACTTTTAAGTAGAATTTGGTAATCAGAACTGTTTTTTTTTAATCTCAAAATTGGATAGGTTCACATAAAATGTAAGTCCCTTTAATATTTATTGTCATATATTTACTAATTTTTTGAACAGCAAATCCATGTGATATCATCTGAATTTGGATTTACAATCTTGAAAAACTAGAATTTTCATCAAGTTGCATGGTTCAAGGAGGAAAAAGGGGTAGCACCAAACTTAAGGCAGTCATTGGTTTTTTTTTTTTTTTTTTATCGGAAACGATAGATAAATTTTATAGCAAACCAAACTTTACAATATTTGAGTAACGGCTCAACCACCTATACAAAGTATACCAGTCAATTTTACTCATTCAACATGCCATATGGAATAGAACTGGAAAGATGAAGCTTGGACGAGTATATTAATAGGCACAAAGCCATTGAAGTAGGGACATAATAGTGATTACTGATTTAGCTATATACAGCTAAACTTTCAATAATCTAAAAGAAGGTAATCTTATCTATATGGCAACCAAGCTTCCTTGATTGCCATTGTTAACATATCACCATGAACATCCAAGGATGCACCCCCTCCCCCCCTCCCAAAAAAGAAAAAGGAAGCTTCATTTTCCCATCATACAAATCTTACTCGTGGCTGGATTGAGCTCAACCTTGATTGCAGGATTCTTCATATCTTTTGGGCCACAGTTAGATTAGTGGAGCTGTATATAGAATAGGGCTTTGTTAATTGTCATATTGCAGGAAATAAAGAAACGGAAATGAGAAGAAAATCGAGAAGCAGAAAAAATATTGCTTATAATATCTACGTAGGAAATTGGCTGAAAAGTAACTAAAGAAACATACAAAAAGCTATAATACATTTCTTACTTTCTACGCGTGCGTGAAACCTTTCAGCACACCAACCTGCTCTGTAACACCAGTAACATCAAAGGCATTGAATTGGAAATTCCAGAGGTTCAGTTGCCTGATCTTTCTTCATTCTCAGGAAATATAAATTGGAGGTCTTCATTGTCCCTGTAGACTTGCACCAGAGCAGCGGCTTTATATGCAAATATTCCAAGCATTGCTGGTACAAGCTGAGGAAGGCACAAAAGAACACAACATAAGCAACCATATACAAGAAGGGAAACGACCAGGTTCCAAGTTCGCATCTAGTGGCTGACAGAGAGTGGCAGCAAGCAGGCAGAGAGGTTTCTTGTGATCCAAAAGAAAAATCTCTATATGTCCTTACCAAATTCCTATCTATCCCCAATCTTTCTTTCAAAATTATCAAGGGAACTTCCTGCTACGTAACTAAATATATCCTGTACTATGAACTTCCAAGTCAGGGCCCACTGGTTGCTCTGTTATAAGAAGGAAATTACCTGGAAATCAAGCAAATCATGGGCAAAATGCTGCGACAATTCCCACAAGCCATATATTGCAGCAGGAATTACAAGCCTTGGAGATGAAAGAGCAAGGCCAGTACCCTTTATAGATCTTTCAAATAGATCTTGCAGATCCTCAGACCTTATTCCAATCCTGGTTAAATATAAATGTTAGTACTAGGTAGCATTTCAGTTGGGTTCAACACATGCAAAAGATGAAAAAGAAGTTCAAGTTTTAGTAATACTTCTTTGATTTCTTTTGCATAAAGATGTCTGGAACTTTTTTCTTCGAGAGGTTGTCCACATGTTGGCACAGGAGTTGAAGGTACAAGCAACTGCAGATTTAGCAAAAACCAAATGAAAAATGTAAGGTGGCAGGCCCTTTGGAGACAAACTGAGTGGATAACTTCTGCCAAAAAAAAGTAAAAGTTTTTGAAGGGGAAGAGAAAAATGAGATGAATGTGCTGGATGCCTAAAGGATTTAGACATCTGAATACAAATGTAAACTAGAGTTTAAGGTAAACCAATTGCTATGATATACACATCAAATGACGGAATTTTTAACCACTTATGACAGTAGATTTTTTTTACGATGCTGATGCACACTTGGTAGTACTGAATTCGCAATTGTTAAATATCTGAGTTTGACAATTTTAAGTAAAAAGAACACCATAAGATGGATCCCTAAATAGAGAAGCACAGTGGCTAATCACTAACCTGAAAAGCACCCCAGTACCATAGCTCAAAGCAGCCTGATCGAAGAATAAGCATAGTAGGTTATGCATTTGATAAACATGTGAACCAAACAGCTTTTTCTAGCACCTGTTAGGCTGTTATCATTAGTAGAATATGATTTACAGCTTTCTGAAAATTTTCAAATAAATGAAATCTACTTTTCTGTTACCGAGAAGCAATTAAATTTTTGGAAAGATGAACAAAAGTTTGCTTCCATTATAATCAATTTTTAAAACGTCATAGGTGCTTTCAGCAATAATGAAGCAGTTAAGGACAATGACCAAGCAATGAGAAACAAGGACACCGACAAGTTTTAACACATTGAGAACCATTTTATTTCCAGATCTTAACCTTCAAACCAATTACCTCAACAGACAACACTACTAGGCAATATCCTCCGCATGCAGTTCCAATCCCCGCCGTCAGCAGAAGCAGTTCCCTTTTCAGCTGAAATCAGGGAATAGGTAAAGCGTAAGAAATTCTCTACAAATTCTGCTGGTGCAAAACTGACTTCAAGTAGCTATCTTCAGCATGTACATGCTACTCCACAATATGTTGTAAGAACAAACAAAACTTGAGCGCAATTACATCAGCTGGGGCAAGGATACATTTTACTAACTTTGATTCATTCCATTATTTTGCTTCATCATTGTCTAATCTTGTCAAAATCAGATAATGTTATACACAATATAACAAACAAAACACGTTCTATAAACACAAAAGAACTAAGCAGACAATGCACAGAACTAATAAATTCAAATAACCATTATAACCTGGCACAGGACCTCTTACCAGCTCCACCTTTAGCATAAATTTGGAGAACATTACCCGAAAAGTAAACATTCAACCAGGAAATCCTAATTTTCAGAAACACTAGGGAGGGTGCTTTTTTTTCATACTCCAGAACTGCGAGAAGTATAGTAATTACAGCTAATATAAAACAGAATTGACCACATCAGAACATCATACAGCTTCATATCTGAGTAAATTGAGCTTTCTCCTCTTCTCACTATCATTTTGTAGCTCCTGCAAATTACAAATGAAATAATAACACCATTACTCTCAAAAACTAAAATTAAGGAGACAATATAACAGACAAGGCTTTACAGAAATAATTCCCAAACGATCTTATAAAAATACCTTAATACTCATCTTCTTATTGACTGGTGCAATGAGGGTGTCTCCCAATACCCATTCATTAGTTCTTTTTAGTTTTAAAAATCCACCACCCTCGTTTTCGTCAAGTACTTCCTACAAGTAAAACAAAAATTAAGTCATAATAATCAAAATTGAACAATAATTCTTCCTAAACCATTCTTACTTTTCTAAATCAACATTAAAAGGAAAAGCCCAAAAAAGAGAGAACCTGTTCTGGAAATTGAGGAGTGTTATCAGAAAAATCAGCTGCAATTGTCTTTTGAGCATTAGTATTAAGGGAATCAATAGCTTCTTTGAGCCAAATTCTGTCAGAAACTTTTGCTATAAAGTCTCCACTGAATTCTCTTTCTTTTATGAAGGCTTCTAATACTTCATCTCCTGCAAATTCACTCACTTTTGTACCCCAAAAAAGAAAATAAACAAACAAATTAATTATAAAATCCCAGAAAGAAAAACTATAGTGGTTATATTTTTATGCTAAAATGTTTAAAAACAATGCTGTGTTTAAGCGGCAGTTGAGTTTACCATGCTGGGAAGTCCTGAGAACAGACAGAATTGCTGGGACTAAGGAGGTGGGGCGTCGTCGTTTTGGAGAATAAAGATTGGAGTAGCTTAATCTCAGAGGAAGAGAAATGGCAGGGTTCATTTTTAGGAGGTAGAATTTTGCTGTGATTAGTGGAAATCAAAGCTCATTGTTGGCTTGGTCCTCTGAAGAAGCAGCAGCTGTTTCTTGAAATATCTTTTCTTTTATCTTCTCCTCATGATGTATCTGTTAGTTTGCATTCTCCACCCCTCATATTTGTTCAAAGTACTCTGTGACCCCAGCGAGGATATATTTGTTGTTTAAAATTTACTCATATGTCATCTATCAAACCGTGACAGTGTATACACTTACACTGTATATAAAATTTATTCAAATTTTTTTGATAGAAAAAAGAAGGTTTCCTTTTTAGGCAAAAGAATAGAAAAGTGAAGTTGAATAAAAGGTAATACTAAAGTTAAGTAGATATATGTAC